TCAAAAGGACACCTTCACGCCTATATTTATTGCAGCACTATTTACAATAGGTAAGCTATGCAAATAGATGATTGAATGTGGTACACAATGGAATATTACTCAGCAATCAAAAAGAATAAATTCATGCCATTTGCAGCAACATGGATGGAGCTGGAAGGGATTATGCTCAGCGAACAAGCCAGAAAGAAAAAGAAAAATATAGGATGGTTTCACTTATAGGAGGAATGTAGAGGAACCTAATAAGGGATCAGGAATAAAAAAAATTATAATAAAGTAAAAATCAAAATCAACAGGCAACAGGCAACCATAGACCAGAAATATTCTGCAGGGGAAGAAGAGGGAGAGGGATCAGGACAGGGGTGGGAAGAGCACAAAGGACTATGGTGATTGTGCACAGGTGAATTGGTGGTGGGAATTTCACAGGAAATCATACATTGTACAAAAATGAAGGATGATGTAATAAATATTAAAAAAAATTAAAAATAAATAAAACAAGGGTGGAAGAAGAGCCCATCTGAAAAGATGCTGGCTTTTCTCCAGGGGAAAAATAATTTTAAAAAAAATGGCTCTGTGAACTGTTATCTCTAAGACCACCATGCACTTACCCTCCCCATTGAAAAAATTTATAATGTTCAAGTGATGACTGAGTAAAACAGAATACATTCCCAGTAATTTAGCTATGATGAGTTATTCTTTACATTGACCATTATGATAGTTTTATGAACAAGATCTGAAGTTGACTGACATTCTACTTTCTAGAATTAACTGTTTTCAGGTTTCAAGATGACAACAATGTACATTCTCTGAGTGCCCTCTACATGCAGCGACAGGGAGATGAAGATCTCTCAGACTCACTCCCTACCCCTCAGGAACCCACAAATTAATGGGAACCATAGATACCACAACACCAGAATGTTGCGGGAAAAAAAAAATGGGGTAAAAACAAGATGAGCTATATAACACAGGAGCACTTCCACTGCCAGTCTGGGAGGGAGGGTGTCAACAGCTGTGAACTTAGTCTTAAGGGTGGTAAGAGTGATTCAGGCAAGATGGCGTGGGGAGAAAGTAGCCAGCGAAGGCAAACCATAAGTAAAAAGTATATGAGAAGCAAGTGGCACAGATCGGAAACGGAATCTTCCTTTTACTGCTCCAATATAAAATGTGGGCAGAGAGTAGCAAAAGAGAGCTATAGAGGCAGGCAGGGTCCAAATAACAGAGAACTTTCTATATCATGCTAAGGAGCTGGAAGCTTATGCTCTGAGCAAAAGAGAACCCAGTTAACAGTGTTAGCCAATTTTCATTTTCAGTGCTTAAGAACTCAAACAAGTGGTTTAAGATTGAAGCCTGGGCTGGATGGAGTGTGCTACTTAGCCAGGAAATTGCTGCAATAAGCCAGACACAGAGAAGGACAGAAACAGATGGAGGAAAAGAAAGAGTAAAGAGATAAATGATAAAACCTCAGGAATGATTGGATACATGAGATAAGAAGTCAAAGATGAATCCCAGGTTTCTAAGGTAGGAACTGAGGTGAAAAATGGGGCACTCCATCAAACAGAAAAGTTAAGAAGACTTTACAGATAAATTGATGAGCTTGATTTTGGACATGTTAAAACGGGATCAGCGAGATGCCCCATCCCTAAACACTTAACCTGGCTTTTCTTCATAGCACTGATCACAATCAAAATACTTCTCTACTAGAACATAACCCCACAAGTACAACATGCTTGTTGTAGTCACCACTCTCTATACTGTCTACCATAATGCTTGGCACATAATTCATTCAAACAAATATCTGGAACAAATATGTGCACACATGAAAAATGAATTAAAAAAATTTATTCTAATGTTTTTTCCTAAACTTGGTGTTTTGTATAAATAGCTACCTTGGAAGAAGGAAATCTTCTGAAACTCATTAATTACTCTTCAGATCTGGCCTCCCTGGTGGCGCAAGGGGTTAAGCACAGCACTGCGAAGCTATCCGCAGCCTCTGTAGCAGGAGTTCAAACCCCGGCCGGCCAGAGGAGCTACCCACATGGTGCAGCAGGCCTCTCCTGACTCGCCCATGCTCCCCTCAGCAGTGTGTTTCAGTCAGTCTGCCTGTTCTGTTCCCTGCTCTATCTCTGGTGAATCCTCCCACCTCCCACACCTCTGGTCTGTATCCCAGTTCTTGTATGCATAAGTAAATAAATCTTTAAAAAAAATTTACTCTTGAGATCTCAATAAATCCCAAAGCCTGGTCAGTATACATCATCTTTAACAAAATTATAGGACAAAAATACCTGTTTAAAATGACACCCCAAGTGTTATATATTTTTGTTCCCTTTTCTTATCTCACAAATTTTTTAAATCTCACAGATATTTAGAACATTGACCAAATTCTTCTAAATATTTCTCCTCCCAAGGAATTAAATAGGCAAGAGTTTAAGACTAGGGTAGGGTAAAAAATAAGCCAACAATTACAAATAATTTGCCAGGAGAGGGGAAAAAAACTACCTTCAGTAAGACAAATAGGAAGACTTAGCTATATTAAAAGAAAAAGGACTATTTAATGTTTCAAGATGCCCTCAACTTATCCTATTGTAAAAAATAATATCCAAAAGAAATTACAAATGGCATAAAATGGATAATCAAAAACAATAAATATTTATGGGCTCACCTATTATATATATACCCAGTACTCTGTTGTGCTATAAAACACAGCAAAACATAAAACAAAATAACACACAACTGAAACCTGTGCTGTTGAAATGTATAAATTTTTCTATTTAATCAACTTACCCCACTGTATTCTGCTACAGATTGAAATTAAAATTAGTTTTCCTTAAGCACTTAAAAATACCAGGATATATCATGACTTATAAGGACAAAGTGTCATCTATTACATTAACATAATATATATCATATATTATGCATGTGTATTTAATTAATATCTGTAAATATGCAAGATAATAATGCACGCGTGATAGATAATAATTTTAAGTAAATCTTTTTCCTCCATTGTGTTAATGGACGTTGTATTATCCATGTACAACAGCAAAAAAAAAAAAAAAAACACTGAAAATTTTTTTTCATTGCAAATTTAAGAGAATTGTACTTGCGCTTCATTTGGGGGTGAGTCAGTCACCTAATATAAAATGAGTAATGAGTAATACAAAAATTACAATAAGCCAAAGTCTGCAACCAAAAAGTCACAAAGAACCTTTACCTCACAACTCCCACTGACTTGTCCATGACTAAATTTAAACCACTAAGACTCATCCTTAAGACATGGAAAGAACATTTTGTATATCTTACTTTTTTAAAAAATGAGCTTCTGCATAAAGAAACAGAAAACATAGAAAAAAATAAGGGCATCTTATATATTGCTAACTATAAATTGCAATTTCCTAATTCTCTCAGGCCACATAGATATTCTCCTGGTTTCAAGAAGAGAGGAGATAGGCAGTTCTTCTAATTAAGCTTCCTCCCACGTGAAATTTCAGTCTTGTAAAACTTATTCTGTTTTTGTACTTGCCCGAGAAATTTGCTGACAATGAAATTTCCACTTTAAATATGCAGTATGATTTAAATAGTTTCCTTCAAATTATTCTTCAGTGGACCTTTAAAATCACAATTGGAGCGATAAAAGTAATTAGAAACAGCAATGTAAATAGAGTTAACTTTCTCAGATGTCCTCCAAAATATAACAGGTTCTCTGCTCTTATCCAGCTTCCCAGGATGCTGAATAGTTCAACCATTTATCACTACACATCACTCAATGCATTTGCACATCACAAGTTACATTCTGCCATTCCAATTTGCCTCCCACTGTGTAACAGGAGACAGAATGTTAATAGCAAGAGCAACAGAGGTTAAACTATAAGAGTGTATATAAAAAAGAAATACAAAATGACAGATTTGGAAAGACTCTTCTCAAGTTCTAGCCAAGCCACTTGATAGAAGTATGATCTTGGGCAAGTCCCTTAACCTCCCCCCTTCCTGTTCTTTGAAAACCAATTTAAATAATTGTATGAAAGTACTTGGTAAACTGAAAGCACTATGATCATTATAGTGGCAAATATGTAAGTTTAAGCAACTGCTGGTCCAGAGCTCAGTAAGACTAATAATCTATGTCAACATGTGAGGTACATCCTAAAGAGTCCAGTGTCCAAAGAAGCCAGGTAACAATCACTTTCTTTGGAATGAGTGCTGCTATCCTGGCCAATGAAACGCATCACAAGTGATTACTTAGGTTAATTAGAAGTGATTACTTAGGTTAGATAAGTTCCTCAGGCAAATATAAGCCTGATAGAGACATATATGGCTAAAGACACAATTAATGCAGGTGGGAAATATAGCAAAACTTAACATTACATTTATTTATACCCTACTACAAGAAAATATTTTTTAATTTGAAATATCCTGAATTACAAGTGCTAGTGGATGGCAGCATTAGGAATACCCTGAATCAGCCAAGAAATGCAGTACAGGGAGATTCACCAGAACCAGAGGGGAGCGCAGAGCAGGCAGACTGATGAAGTACACTGCTGAGGGGAGCAGCGGGCTGCAGGAGAGGTCTGCGTGCCATGTGGGACCCACGCCATTGGACAGGGATCGAACCAGCACTGCAGAGGCTGCAGGAAGCTTTGCAACCCAGCGTTCAACCGCTGCGCTGGGGAGGCTAGGGAGATATAAATTCTTAAAGAAAACTGAAACATTTTCATTTATATAAAACCATTCATCACAGTGGAAAGTCTACCTAAATTAAGTGGAAATATTCTGAAGAATACACTGTTCTAAAATTCTCTAGTTCTAAAATGAACTATGAATGAACTATAAATAAGCAACATTTTACAAAGATCACAGAGGCGTAACAGCTGTAGGTTAGTTAATAGTCAATGAAGGTTTTGAGACATCACTAATTTCTAGAATCCAAAAAGTGGGTGTCCAGCATAGTTTAAAAGACACAAATGTTTAAATAAATTTCTAGTAAATTAATTCTCAAAATACCCCATACTCACAGATAATGATCAGAATCAAATTTGGCCAGCTCAGCAGACAAGCGTTTTTGCCTTCGCTCAGCAGCAGGAGTGAAATCTGGATCCTTAATATCGATAACATCACTCAATTCATCCTAAGAACACCCAGAAAAGAAAGAATAATTGCTATCTCCAATGTTAGCAGTGAAAAACCAAATTATACACAAAATGCCAAAATAGGAAGAATCTAATTGATTAGTGAGCCATGATACTACCTATGACATTTAGATTCAAATCTAAATGTCAGGAAATGTTTGTTAAGCACCTACTACTTGCCAGAACCTGTTGGAAATTTTCACATAAATTATCTCATTTAATCCTTGCAATAAACAAACTGATCAACATTTATGAAGGCTATAAAACTAAACACAAAACACAAGATAATCCCCTGCAGAAAGCAGATGCATTTAATTTTCCATTCATTCTCTCATTTACTCCTAGAGATTTGTAAGTTTTATTAAAACAAAATGGCTTGAATATCAGACATCCACCGATTTTCTTTTTGTTTCTCCTGTAGTCAGCTGGTCTCAAATAAGACTTATCAGATAAGACACATACACAAAATGAATACATTGTACTTTATAAGCACAATTACAGCATTCTATTTGAGAGCTTAAAAATCCAATCAACTTCACTGTAATCATCTGCACTTAGATGTATACACAGTGATATGTAGCAAGTTTTTTGTGTTGAAACCTACAGAAAACTGCCTAGAAAACCATACACAATGCAAAATATTCCTAAATCTATCCCATTTTTCCTTTCTTCAACATCCCCACTCCTACTACCAACCCCAACCAAGAAGTACTGAAACCGGAAGAAGCTTAGGAATATTAGCTGAAAAGTCATCACAGAAAATAACTTGGTAAGGAGTTGTGGAAGCAAACTGTTAAAATAGATTTGGCAATGGAATTACAACTTCATCATTAGATTTAAAAGCCAACAGCTGTACTGAATAAGCACTACAACTAAATGACCCCAAGCTGAATTAATAAGGGAGAAACTGGGATCCAGACTTCCTATACAATCAACATTTCCACATAATAAAAAAAAAAAAATTCATCTCTAACACAATACATTTAGCTCAAGTAATATCAACAACATTTATTCTAAATGCAACCCAACACAATGGAAAGACCCTGAGACCTTTTGGACGTTACTAGAACATCTGAACATCTCAATCTAAGTACAAACATTCTGGGCAAACATCAGATTACTAGTCTGTCCCCAAGTTTATAAAAACTTGCAGTTCCAAAATTATATTATAATTTACTTTTTTTGGAGACTTAGAAATGTATTTTCCTATAGTAACACTATCATAAATAGTAGTTGGAGTCTCAGGGTAACCCACAAGTTTATTCAACTCATAATAAACTTGAAATAAGAGTACTCATGATACAAATTGTTTAATAAGCATGCAGCAATGTTTCCATGGGAAAATACATTCAGAGTTCCAATTTAATCCATCAGAAATATCCCTTCCCCAGCAGTGCATCCTGACTGTTCTCTCTTCCCCACTTCAACTGCCTAAAACTAGCTCCACTGGCCACAAAGCTGGAAAGGGCATGGACAGAGGCCTTATGGGAAAGGAGAGGTTATGTATGGGCAGGCCTAACCTCAGTTAAATGAAGTGAGAGCCATTTCCTGCCTGTGAACCCCAAGTCCCTCTCCCCAGCACCTTTTCTCTCTTTCTGGCCCCAATGAGTTCCCTGCCCTCTTCCCTACCTCCCAACTTTGCCTCTCCCCACCCCAACACAGATACCTCACTCTTCTGATAGCCTGATTGTAAAGGCAGGAACGGGCACAAGGCAGGTTTTCTGATCCCATGCAGATCGGGTAAAGGAGGAGTCAGAGTCCTCAGTAGTTTTGCAGGTTTTTTATTTGGGGTTCACCAGGCATATGACAGGTAGGGGTGCTGGCTGGGGGGCTGGGAGGCTGGCAGGCCTCCCAGCCCCCAGCAAGTCTTCACTCTATCTGGGCTCTCTAGCGTTCGTTCTGCTGCTTCTCGGCTTCTCTTTCGGGTTCTGCTGCTGCTGGCTGGGGCTGCTCGCGTCCCCCCCGTGACGCCGCCCTTAAAAGCACAGTCTTAGCTCAGCTGAATCCCATCTACCTATGCCCACACCCTACTCCAGGTGCCCGCCATCAGGCATGCATTCAGGACAAGGATCCATCATCTATCCTGATGGCGGAAGGGCAGAAAAGCCTGATATTTTCTTTACCCTACAGTCCACCCCCTCAGGGTTTTCTGCCATACAGTCTATACATACATATACAATTTTCTAAACAAACAATGCAGCCATGGCCCACAAAAGCAAATACATCACAATATAACAAAATACAATATAACAAAATACAACAGAACACAAATAAGTCCAGGCAGGGCACCAACCTAGTGCAAAAGACAATTATTGGTACCAGCAGATGAGCCACCAAATCTGCTGCCGAAGGCACTGCTCATACGAGGGAGGGGAATCACTCACGGCATCTACTATATCACACCAGGAGCTGTCAGGCTTCCTGGCCTTCTCTGGCTGTAGTCTCGGTACAAGGCACACACAGCATCCACCCCCAGGATGCACTAGCTCTGGGATTGGCAATTTTATTCTGTTGGGGGTAATCGCCAACCCTCAGGGTTTCTGTCTGCAGTCGCTCCAACACTCGGCCTTCATGGCCACCCATGCGACTCACAGACCCCTGCTCTCAAGCCAACCCACTGCACAAGCACATGGGTTGGGGATCCAAACTTTGCATTTGGCTTGGGCTCCACCCCAAGCCACATTCCCCACCCGTCCCCCAAGGACGGGCTCCTCAGCTCCTCACCCTCACTCAAGAATGAGCAGGGCATCACCCACAGGTGATTTTACGAGACTCACAGGGCTTCAGCATACCCAGGCTGCTTAACAGCCGCTTTAGGGCTTCTCAACTTAGCATCAGTACCAGCTTTTGCCACCTTAGTTGGCTTTTCTCCTCCACCTGGCCACTGGGCATACACAGGCTGCTTTTGGCCATCTAGGCCCACTGGCCACCCCCAGATTCTCAAAAAATAAACATAACCTGCTAAGGTCCTCCGCCTTCTGGCGGGATTGTCAGTCCAAAATCATCAGTTAATCAGTCTATCAGTCCATTGGCCTCTCCCTGCTTCAGCAATGGCCTGCTGCCTCAGGGGTCATTGGCTGGTCCTTTCCGGTGTCGTTGGCTGGTCCTTTCCGGTGTCGTTGGCTGGTCCTTTCCGGTGTCGTTGGCTGGTCCTTTCCGGTGTCGTTGGCTGGTCCTTTCGGGCGTCTCCTTCACGCCAGGTCTCATCCTGTAGCTCGTGGACTTATCCATCTTCTATACCGCCATGGTGCCTCCAGCGTCGTCACAGGCAAAGTCTGTTCTCCTTAGTCCCTCCAGGTCTTCGGAGGGCTCCAATACCCGTCTGCATGGATCTTGCCGACTTACGCCAATTGTAAAGGCAGGACATGGGCACAAGGCAGGTTTTCTGATCCCATGCAGATCGGGTAAAGGAGGAGTCAGAGTCCTCAGTAGTTTTGCAGGTTTTTTATTTGGGGTTCACCAGGCATATGACAGGTAGGGGTGCTGGCTGGGGGGCTGGGAGGCTGGCAGGCCTCCCAGCCCCCAGCAAGTCTTCACTCTATCTGGGCTCTCTAGCGTTCATTCTGCTGCTTCTCGGCTTCTCTTTCGGGTTCTGCTGCTGCTGGCTGGGGCTGCTCGCGTCCCCCCCGTGACGCCGCCCTTAAAAGCACAGTCTTAGCTCAGCTGAATCCCATCTACCTATGCCCACACCCTACTCCAGGTGCCCGCCATCAGGCATGCATTCAGGACAAGGATCCATCATCTATCCTGATGGCGGAAGGGCAGAAAAGCCTGATATTTTCTTTACCCTACACTGATGAAGTAGAAGAGGCTGTGACTTTGCAGTCAGACAAACCAAAATTTAAAAACCCAGTTCCAGTCTTAATTGTGCAACCTCTCCCAATTCTCACTATAAAATGCGTACTAGTTTCCTGTTGCCGCTATAACAAATGAACACAAACTAGTGGCTTAACACAATTTTTTTTTTCTCTTAGAGTTCTGGGAGTCAGAAATCCAGTCATTCTCCCTGGACTAAAATGAAAGTATAGGCAGGGATGGTGACCTTTCTGGAGATTCTGTCTCTTTGCCTTTCCTGCTGTAGGGTAAATGAAGTTATCAGGCTTTTTTCTGCCCAGCTACCACTAGTGTGCATGCCCCGGGCCAAGGGGGGTGGGGGCAGGGCATGCATGCTGTAATTATGGACACCTGGGCCCAGAGAGCATGGGCATGCACATGAGTAAATGCTCACACCTGTGCCCAGAGATGGAGAAAAGGTGTCAAGCAGAGACAAGACTATCTCGAGGAGAACCACTCTGAAGCAAGACCACAAGACAATACAAGACTGAGAACATCGAGAGAGGCCAGAGAAAGAGTGCAACAGAGCCTCCCAGCCCCCCTATATAGCCCAAGCCTACCTCTTTGCATGCTAGCCGCCCTGCCTGATGTGCCTGTGTATCTGTTCCCTGAGTACTAAAGGCTTGTAAAAATCCATCAAGGGCTCCAGGACTCTCCTTTATCAGTCTGCCTGAGTCGACAGTAAACCTGCCCTGTTCATGCTTGCACTAGAACTGCCTTAAAAGCTGTCTTCATAGGTTGGTTCTTGGCCCCACATCACAATGCCCTTCCTCCCACAGTTTCTAATATGGTCATCTCCTTTTCCATCTTGACTCTCTAACCTCTTCCATTAAGTACCATGCGACTATACTATACCCACCTGAATAACCCAGGATAACTTCCCCATCACAAAAGCTTTACCTTAATCTCATCTGCAAAATTCCTGTCTTATAACATTCACATGTTCTGGGGATTGACCTATCTGTAGGGAGTTTGTAGGGGGGGCTCGGGGAAGAGGATAATTATTCTGTCACCCATAGACTGTTGTGAAGAGTAAGTGAAATAATGAGTAAGACATCAAATACAGGGCTTGATCCCACCAATAACATCCGTTTCCTTTCTGTCTCCCAATTCCATGGCCACTCCATTAGCCACTGGCGGACTTCCTAGCAAGAATACACATCCT